GGGGGGACCAGCCCCACTTTGGCTGTTCGTTAAGGGGGCACTGGAGATGCTCGTCAAGTTTTGCTCGAAGGTACCCCCCCCCCCCCCCCCCCCCGCCAGTTCTAGAAAGCATTGTGCGGGGAACACATGGCAATTCGCTCATCGCGTGTGCTGCACACGTGTCTCACTTGCTCACACGTGTCCTTCCACGCGGACAGAGACCCACCACGCCCACCAAGGACAAGCGTCAAGCCAAGCCAAGACACACCATGGCTCCTATGAAACTCTCGATATCATTCATTGCCGTGCTCATCGCCGTCTTCGACGGCGTGGATGGCTTCGTGGGACCGGTGCCAGTTGGCACGAGGGCTCGTGTCGTCCGCCGAGCAATGGCAACAAACGGCTTCCACAGCACCACCAGAGTTCAGGGACGATCGCTGCCGCGGGCACAAGAGCCCTTGAGGCGACAGGCTTCCATGTCAGCAGCTCCCGACAAGATGCCATCCCCGGGGTGAGTGTGATCGATGGCTCAACAATCATACATTTCCTGTCGCATGACACGTGTGATGTGTATGATGGGGGCGTGTCTGCGGTCGCGCGTGAGGGAACCAACTGCCTGTTGCCTCTGGTTGTAGCGTCTCACCCAACATCTTCTCCAGCAGCAGCAGCAGCAGCAGTAGCACTATCATTGTTCTGGAACGTAGACGGAAAACAAAACGCCGGGACCACCTGCCGCCGCAGCCTGTTCCCGCAACTTTTTCCCATGTGGACGCTGGCTTCTTCGCCCCATACACCCTGTTCGCAGCTAACTTCAATTTGCGTACGTAAAAAAACACACACAACAGCACCACTGCTGTTGCTGAGCGTACGTCTACTGCTGTACAATGTGACGCGTGGCATTCTCGCTTAGGCATTATGGTCGCCCTCTTTCGCTAGCACTCGATCTCACTGTTGAATAGGGGACTGGCGCATGTTCTTGCTTGGTTTAGGTTGGACCACTGACTGCTGTGTGTTGGTCTCGTACAACAGCAGCAGCAGTACGTCGTCCCGCCCAGATGCGTGTGCAAATCGGCAACGTCACATTTTTTTTTTATTGTGTGTGTGAAAAACTCATCATGCACGACGCGCGCACACGTATTACTATCTACGGGAGTTTTTGAGGCGGCCTGTTGCCCCGTTCGTTTGCGTCCTTTTTTGTCTTTTGGTACGCGCTCGTTTGCGTGGCTAGACACTTTTCTCGCACGGGGACGGCCAGCGGCCAATGCAGTAGTCAAGCTTCCCGGGAGCTACAATTGTACAGCAGTCCTAGTTTTCGCTGAAGTCTTGTTTTTTTGTTGCGTACATGAAGCAGTTGCCTCTCTTTTTTGGTAGCCTTGTGCAGCTGTGGGTGTGTAGACACGTCGACACCAAGGTTCTGGAAACCAAGCCTATGCTTTTCAGCGTTTAAATACCGCTAGTGTCTGCCGTGCTGTCGTCTCACAGAATCAGCGGGGAAGAGGGTGCACCGCAGAAAGGGGGCCGGCTCTCGCGCATCTCTGGGCGCGTACGGAAGATAATCCGCAGGGCTGTGATGGGCTACCTCCCCGAGGAGGAGGTGTCCTACAAGCAGAGAGCAGAGGAGCAGGAAGCGGCGGCGGCGAAACTGCGCGGCGAGCCGGAGGTGAGAGCGGTGGCGTCGGACTGGGACGCTGGTACATGATAATGGCCATGGCCAACAGTGTGGAATCTATTCGTACGTGCATCCCGGTTTGTTCGTCCCCATCCGTCATGCGTCACAACAGCTGTCGCGGTTGGAACTAAAAAATAGCGATGCCAAGGCGATGTTGGTGGTGTCGTGATGCAAGGGAGAATAGCAGCAGGCGGGGTGTTCCTTACACCACCACCAGCAACGGTGACGGTTGCCCAGCCCCCCCCCCACAGCAGCGCACAAACTACAACAATCGACGTATTGAATCGAATATCTTTGTGTCGGCCGTAGAACAAATAAATGCCTTGGGTAGGTCAGCGAACTGGCTCTCTCCCGTGCGTTTTTCTACCCGTCATATTTGACGCTCCATGCATGTCGGAAGTACATTTTTATGCCTTTGTCGGTAAACGCCCCGAGCTCACATCTCCTCCCCCCGTCCCCTTGACCCTTACGGCGGTGTTTTGGCGATGTTAAATACTGCTGTTGGTGATGTTGATTCCCTGGGTTCTGCCCATTTACCTTATTGCCGTACGAAGCACGTGTGAGTTTTTAAACATGTGTATTTATTTTTTTCCTTATAATGTCCAGCTCGGCTTGCGTTTTTTCTTTAGAAACGAGTTTACACACGTCGGGATTTCTAGAAACACGACGATTTACATATATACCACCTCTCTATATTTCCAAGTTTGTTTGTGATGGATGCGAAGCCCTGAGTGCGGCGACGATGAGGTTATTGTGTTGTAATCGATCCGCCGGTGTTCAATGCCTGTTGTATTTGGTATTTAAGCGGTACTGCCGTACTCGCTTGTTGAGTCAAGTTGTATGGATAACAAACAAGCTCCACCAAATGTAATTTTCGTGTTTCTCGTGTGCCGTATGATGCGTAGATACATGGCTGACAGGTGGCAGGAGCAGGATGCACCGGCAAATTTCGTTTTGTAGTCACATCCTGATCTTTCTAGAAGACCCCCCCCCCCCCA